AAGTGGGACGCGCTTTCGGTAAAACCTTCTCTCATACACTTGATAATTATGGGGTGTTCTCTTTTGGGTGAATTTATGGAAGAAACGATGCCGCTACGAAATAAAATTATGAAGTTCTACTGTTAACTGAAAATAAGAGGAAACTTGGTTCGTCTTATGGTCGGAGAACGTTTTCTGCAGTCTCGTACGTTCTCATGGGCTCGAAATGGCGTATCGGGTTAAGGAAAACTTTTCTGGAGACAAATAAATACGAGAGCCAATCCAAATGTCAACTAAACCAAATTTTACGGAAGAATAAGCCATTATATCTGTTTGTAGTTCGAACATTCTACACAACTCGCGACCAATTAAAGTGGGAGCTGGAAGCGCTCAACGAACAAAATGAGTGTTAACAATGTTGCAGAGCAAAATATTTCCCAGTCTTCTTTTTTTTTTTTTTAAATTTCAAGTTAGGTTTCCGGTCTCGATAATTATGATCTTATAGGCGATCTTTGGGTTTGCGGAACAGTGGTACCAAGGCGTATTGAATAACCTTATAGTCGAATTTAACATACAAGCATTTTTTTTTTTTGCTTCAACGATATTCTCAACCTATAGCGCTAGGAAAATGTGTAAAGTAAAAAAATCCTGACATTTGAGGACGTGGGTACAGTATGAAGAGACGATTACTTTCAATAAGAGGGCGTCTTATTCTGAATGATGTAGGCACAGAGCCGTCGATAAGAATAGCGAACTTAGTTCAATTCTGCTCTATCTTTGTATAGTCCGTAGAATATGCTACTTTAGTAAATTGCTATGAACTGTTGGGTTAAAACAGCGTTCGGCAATGATGATAAAATTTTTATATTACTTGTACCTCTTGGGAATTAGTGAATCTTAAATACAATGATATAGCGTTAGTACTTATTAGACTTGAAGTGGAAACCTGGTCGTACGTCTAAATTAAACAGAACCGATAAAGTGAGGAGGGCTCCCTACACCTTGCCACCGTGCCTATGGACTAAGGAAGCTCATGCTTAGAGGCGATATCTTCGTCTCAAGTGCTGTTTGTTACTTTTTAGTGGTATAAACGGAAGTTGTAGTAAGTATTACTATCGGCATCTGCGAGTGACGCTTACGGCTACACTGGTCGTCTTAAATCCTACTCATCCAGTTGCGTTGGATTATTATTCATTTGGCGCTCAGGTTCGTCTCGATTCTGCATTGGTTGGCTAGTAAAAAAGAAACTGGCCTTGTAATAATGGCTGTCTTCATACGGCATGAACGTAAGGTCTTGCTTTCGTGACCTGAACATACCGTCTAGGCCCAAACACTGTAAAACCTGTTGCGTTTCCCGTTACATAGGGCATATCACTCGTTGCTGATTGTAAATACGTAACGACGTTTATCGTCTGAGGTGCGGTGTCTTAAACTTCATCAAACTCAACGAACCGAGAACTTTGAAGTCACACAGAAGTAGGGCTGCCATAGGCCAGTTTGGATGGTGCCACTTAACGCAAGAGGCCTAACCAAACAATGAATTTACTCATCGAACGGCGGTCATTTGCTGCTACAGAAATGGCTAATTTATCCTATAGCGGTCACACAACTATCGAATGCTCTAAGCGTCAATACGTTGAGATCTTTCGGAATAACCATTAGTCGTTTCGCGACTCTTCGTTGAAAGTCAAGTTACTTCACGGCGCTTTTATAGTGCGCATTGTTTGTGTATCATGTTGCCTAACGTTGAATCGGTTGACAGGCCGTCAGCGGCCTAAATAATAGACGCGATTTTTGTCCATTGGAAAGATTTACTTTTCTAGCAAAAGTTTCAGTTGAACTAGTCAACCTTCTGAGCGAAATTTCAGACCAATACGTCGCACGTTAAATGCGTGAGGCATGCATGCTTCAATTACAGCATCCATTACTTAACTCGTCAAAAGCTGGAAGAGGTCAAGTATAGAACGATAGAGTCGAAGATTCCGCTGCAGCGGCAGCGGCAGCAGCAGCAGAATGTTTGTTTATGATGAATCACGTTAAAAATATCGACCTCACCTCGACCAAGCTTATGAATTCAACAAATCGATTTTAGGTACTCCACGTACCCCTCTTCAGATTTGTGACTGATAAGTTTCAGATCAAAAAGAGTGAGGTAGAAGTCGACCTTAGCCAACTAACCATATCGTCAAAAGCCGCACCGGAAGCGATAATGGATTTCTACCGATTTCACTTATCCTAAATATTCAGATGTCATAGCTTGTGGCACATCTATGCCGAAGCCAATCTTCAGACTGGTTGTTCAGTACATCACCAGCAGCTAACAGTTATCCACAGTAATGATGCTAGTCACATGAACCGAAAGCGAAATCTGCAAAAAATTAGGCAGATAGCTTAAACGTGTACTTTATCCAATAACCGAGGAGAAAATCGTTGGCAAAGGGCAGCTTGTGTACAAATTACTTTGTATTGGCATTTGCTACCCATCTGGTGTTTTATTTGCTTTCGTTACCACTGAAATAATCATTATTATGATATTCTACATAACGATTCGTCTATAATGTTTTCTAACGAACAAATAGAATTCATACAAACGGAAGTTTGCCGTCATTGGCTTTTTGAGGATTTATACTTGATGGGTTTACGCAAAGAATATACCGTTTGCCTTAAAAGCAAGAAAAACTAATGTTTCATCCATTGAAAAATCAACAAAAACAACCATATTTACATAGAGGAAAAAATGGCGTCTGCTTTCCGTTAGAGATTCCGCTAAATCGCCTATAATAATAATAAGATAAAAAAATCGCCTACTGCATTAGCTCAGTGTAATTGTGCGTTTACTTTGTGCCGCCGTAGAAATGTGCCGCAGCACACTGCACCATGGTGATCTTCTCTTCCATGGTCGAAGCTCTGTGTTAACAAATATCTGTACAGCCCTTGCACAATTTGACGAGGGCAACTGTGCTAAGGGCTCAGAAATTTTCGTGTTAATCCCACGCGTTTAGTCTAAGCTATGGGCTTAGCTACGAAATTAGCTATCACTACGAAAATCATTAGTGCTCTTCGCTCCCGTAAGGATGCTGAAGTTCGCTGACGTATCGGCGACGTTTCCGTTTTTACGTGTCAATCAAATAAAAGCGACGATGACTGTTTACGTTCTCGGTTTGTCAGTTGGAACCAAATAAACCACTGCGAGCGCTATACCGGTATCCCGTCCGCGAACAACCACTTAATTCGACCAATCTGCATATTTCCAAAAACAGGTTGATGTAACACAGTAAGCAAACTCATTCAATTTCACCTGGTCAAACGGATTATTCGCTGATGTACTAGATGTAATATATCAGCTATTACTTAATATTTTCGTCTTATAAAAACTTCTTGTATTTGAGACCCACTATCTACGTTATTGCTACTTTTTATCCGGCTTCTGAGCAGTAGGAGAAAAACCTAGCACGTTTAAACTGGACGGCCCTCAATTGGGTTTAGATATAAAGATCGTCATAACGTGTCCGACATATACGACAAAATGTCATAAACACTTATTTTAATATTTCTGCTACAAGAATCAGCGGCCTTTTTAGAAATGAAAGTATCAATTGCCTATTACATAAGTTTGAACAGTTAGCCTTGTCAAGACCTTTGGCGCCTTTTTGAACTTGCATTTTCAAGATTCTTGGCCTGCTGTCAGCCCAGAATAGAATTCGGTTGGAATTTCTAGGCAGCGTATTTAAGCTTTGCCGAATTAAAAAAGGAATAATTTAGAAATCATTAGTGATTTGAAGCCGCCTTAATCGCGGTGAATGATCAAATGGCATTTGCCGCGCAGACGTGGCATCGCGCGGCAAAGCATAAAAAACTCTTAACTCAGATTGAAGTAACGAATTTAGCGAGCATCTAATCAATCACTTGTTATTATTAAGTTAATTAGCGATACATTTTAGATCTTCAACCATTAAGCCTAATGCGTTGTCCTGAATATTCTCACGTTATGGGCACAGCCTATTTCAATGGCTGAGGTGGCCTTGGCGATAAGCATACACTATTACGAAGTCGCTATAAGGGACCACTCGACAAATTTGAAAGCGATTAAGCATAAGCTCTGTTATCTGTACCTTGAGTGGATCGTTAACTTCACCTCTATTCTTAAACTTTGCGTGGAAATGCGTATCTTATTGAATTTCATTGTTGTTGTTGACACTTTTAGATATTAGAAATCATCGTTACTGTTTAAATGGAGTAGCATTCAATGATATTTAATTCTCTAATATTTGTCCAAAGTCTTCAGAAAATATGTTCATGAGGAGAAATGAAGAAGATCTGACTGGACGGGAATACTCCCGAGTTTTTTCAAACTTGCGCCTGTTTCAAACAGGTACAAATGTAACAGGTTTTATTTTTGTCCAAACTATTTTTGCTAAAAGGCACGCAAGCACATTTTAGAAGTGCACTTCGTCAATGCTTCGAAACGTACCGCTATGTCCGAACCCGCGTCCTAAATGCTCCAATTCCTCTTCTAAACTAGGTACTATTTGACTGTCAAAAGAGAAATTTATATAATATCGTTCACAAGACTTTTGTAGACAAAATCCCCCTAACCCTAAGCAGCAACTTGTAACAAATCTGGATTTATATAGAACTAACATCTTAAACTATAAAAGCGCATAAAATACATGATGTGATTTATTGTGATGAAAAATTTGCGGACACGATTAATACCGGCTGGACGACTGAGACTACGACGATATTGTTTGCACCATTCCGAGCGCCGTTATTTTGAGTGGACAGATGATATCGAAGGGCCTCAAATGTCTGTTAAATGATTTCACGATCAGACGTCCTAAGTATAATACAGTTCTCAATGACCTTGTTCCGAAAACACATGTACTATATTTATTATATTTTCTAAAAACAAGTATACTTGTAGTTGTTTCATGATTAGGATACTTCTATCTATTAAGTTATTTTCACATCTATTGTAATGGTTATGATGTTTCTTGGTCTGCTTATCGAATTTAACTTACCTTTTCGGGGTTACCGTATCTACCGTCTAAATGCAGTAATGACACTTTTACAAGATTGTCCTCGGCTACGATGGTTACAGTTGATTTCTTCGGTTCAATCCGCAACCTACCCGTTTTTTTCTGTTCCTTAGAATAAGTACATCCACGTCCTCAAGTGTGAGTTGAGAAGTTATTCGTAGTCGAACTGGAGGTCAGCTCTCACTTACCAGCACGTATCTGTGTAATCTTAGTATTGCGACATTCAGAGAGAGCAGAACTTGGCGGATACAGCAATGGGCTTTTGCAGGAGAAGAGTGGTCCGAACTCAACGATGACAGACTCAAAGACAAAGATGATACTGTTATGAGTCACACAAATGGCCTTCACGTAGTTTCCTCGCTGCGGCTATTGCAACCCATCTTTAGCGCCAGTTTAAGCAGATTTTCTGCGGGATTGGCGTTCGCTAGCCAACGCACTATCGTACGTACGCAACAGTCAATACAATTGCCGTGGTCACGTGGCAATTTTATACACGCACAAGGTACACGACGACCTTTGTTCGTTGCTTCCTTGCCGCAAGCCGTCGCTACATAAAGAGAAATTACCTAGTTATTTGTTGTAAACTGCTGTACTGGATTTTTTTGCTACCGCTAAGTTCGCATAAGTTGGTACAAGGTTATACGTTAATGGGTTGACCAGTTAAACTGCGCAGCTTGCCTCGTAGTTCACCTGTACAGCGAAACAAGGAACTAACCAAGAGCTACGACTAGCAGCTAGCCGATGTACGCTCATTGCACTTAGACTGATGATAATACGTTTAAGATCCGAGTACTTTAATTGTGTGACAACATCTGACACCCCTGAGAACGTTGCACTTTCTGCTCTGCCGTGAGTTGGACAACTCAGTTGACGCCGGTTCACAAGCGGATCACATCCTTCGTTCTTTCGTTATTGACAATCAAGCTTCTCGGATCACGGACGGTGTGTACGACTCCCTTCTCGATTGTAGCTAGCCTTTTGTTACGTGACTCGATTCAAACTCGTTTTGTGGAGATCTCGACGTAGCGGTGTAGCGACTGCTATACGGTAGCAAGTAGCGTTAGCGAGGAAGAAGAACTACACGCTAACAGAGTAGGCAGCATTCACCAACCAACAAAAACGGGGTCTACAGCTTCGATGCAACTACTACTGGCTGAAGCTCGAAAATCAGAAACTTCATCACCGTATCAGATCATCGTTCGCGCGCAGGCAGTGTAGCATCAAACGTCTCTCCTCTTTCCACTTCTGCGGATTCAGCCCTCGCCTCATTCGCGGGAGCCGATTGCGAAGCGACTGCAGCGACGGTAAAGGCGCCCCCGCAACCCGACTGCAGTTCGTTAACACTGTCACTATCTGTGCTTAATCACAACAGGTACGACAATCGTCAGCCTGGAACACATTAGAAATCTGTGGAAAAGTAAGCTATACCGGTTTGGCTTTATATTTATTTAGCGCGTTTTATATCATGCATGCGTTCATCCTAGATAGCTAGCAGGTCACCCTAGCACATGGTCCGCGATCGAAGATTCGTCTTCGAAGAGAGATCAAACGGCAGGCTAGAAAGCTTTAAGCTTAAATGATTTCGTACGCAAATGATTCTTTGAGGGTGTTAAGCATTTTGCCATGATTGACAAAGACGTAATTGTGTCTTGCTTTCAAATCATACTTAGCGTACTTTCTATATGTGTTCCAGTGTTGTAGTATATTTGATATGTACTAGTAAGGTTGTCAACGAGTGGTAAATCGTTGAGCTCATTCAGACAAACATGTCAACACCGAAATCCTTTGTTACCCACAGGTGCGAGCATTTATAAGCCATGCATACATATACATGCACATTGATGTTGATCGGAAATTTGTAGTAGCAGCCGTTATTTCATTTCTTCTGCCAAATGAACGCGCAATACCGAAAATCGTAAATTCGTTTGACAGAGACGGCTGCAGCAAAGGCAGCACGTAGATTCCGGGAGAGTGTCGCTTGCTTCTATTGTAAACGTGTGGGAGCTATTTGATGGCGTCACCACCGTTTAGCTTCTACATGTGGTATCGGTCTGGTAAAGGCTGTCGCTAACGTCCTGCGAACAATCTATCTAAGATCCGGCTCATTTCAGAGCTAACTTATCTAATCATATTTTGTCTCAGTGACGCTCCTAAGGCAACATGTCACATAGGGAAAGATGACCTAAAAACGTCTTGGTATTTTAATTGGTTAAGAGAAAAATTAATTGAAAATGAAAAATGCGATCTGGTCCTAAGAGTCGTAGCTATCGTATGCTAGGTACCGGTTGGATCGAAGTTCTTTAATTGCCGTGCAGCTTGCTTAAGATAACTGGAAATGATTAAACTTTTAGTTCAACTAATTCCACAAATGTCTGTCGAAATCGGTAACGTTATGTAGCTGCCTTTTAAGCGTAGGCCAATTCGCGATTTCGCGTTTATTCATGAATCATTTAAAAGTTTCAATTATTAACGCTACGGGAGGTGGTATCCTACAGTCGGCATCGTCTGGACTGTATTTTAAAAATAAACTTAGCAAAATAAGATTGTGGACTGCATGTAAAAATGAAAAGTAACTTCCTGGTTATTTGGTTAGCTACTAAGCCTTATAATATTTTTCTGTCCGATGGTAGGTCGCTGAGCTGTTTTCTGCTCCCTACTAGTAATAATCGTACCTGTGAACGGTGAAAACTTGATGATTTTTAGGCGAAGATATTGATTTGCAGAGAAATTCAGCGTTCTGGGGGTTTACGGATAAGTAATTATTTTTATTCCGCATGTTCGCAGATCTCTATAATGCTTTATAGTAATTTATATGTACAAAAATAACGAGACCTATAGCCACTAACAAACAAAAATGTCGTAGCACCAAAAGAAGAAACGCAAACAACTGCCGCCAGATATTTTGTTCCTTAGGATACCTTATCCTTCAACGCTCCTACCACTGAGGAAGCCGCTTCCTGGCACATTGATACAATTTTTAGTGTTGTCATTAGCGGCCAGCAAGGCCACTGTAAAGTGCTCACGTTCCAAAGAACTTGAACGTTTGCTGTAGACATTTTTGTTCCAATGGGGATGACTACCCTGAAGGTTAGGTAACCGAAACTAGGCCGTCTGGCAATGGCAGCATCATGTTTGACATTTGGCGCCTGCGCGTTTTGCAATAGCGGGGAGGAAATTTCGAACGGCTAACCTAAAAAAAGAAACAGAAAAGCACCGCGTGCGATTCTCTGCTACAATTGCCAGGGGCGCACCTGTCTGTTTGTACCGGCGTCTACTATGAGGGTATCGCATCCCAAATCAGAGGAGTTATCAAGATCATCATGAAACCAACCCCACGGCTAAAAAGGCCTATACTGAGACGCTGTTGATCAAATAGCAGCGACTACAGTAAGACCAGAGGAGCCAACCTGTTAGCAACAAAGTCGTCCAATAGAATCCGGGCCCACAAATTCGTCTTCTCAAAGAAGTTAATCCGATTACGCGAAACAAACGATATTATGTAATACTAATAACACACTAACCGATATACGTTAATAAATTGTGCCTGTAGTCAGTTCCAAAATATTCGGGAGATAACGATGTTGTAGTGGTTTAACTTTTCTTGTTGTCCTCAAGCATTTTTCGGTGTTATCGAAACCGTTAGTCGTCGATGTCGTCGTACGCGTTTTGCCTCCAAGATCCTCTTTTTTCTTGGAGGAACAACGAACTAATAGCGTTGTTAATGGGTGAAACGTGGAAGAGGAACGCTGTGACAAGACGGCAAAGCAAGAGACCGAGAATGCTATGCGGGAAAGCTAGTCGCTAACGGTGTTAAAGGAAGAATACACGTTGGTACGAAGCGAAACTAGCCTAAATCATTGATCATCATCATAATCATTATTACTATTATATTTTTTGTCATCGTAACGAGGAGATAGATCTCAGTGTAACACCGAAACCATTTCAAAGCGATCGATGTAATATGAATTGAAGAATTTCTCTTCTATCCAATCCTCAATACATCAGCAGTACGAAGAACAAAATAGATACTGTGTTCTCATCCAGCGACATCTATTAGATATGTTCGCAAGTGTTATGGCGTAGTTTGATCCGTGGACAGAAGTTAAATATTCTGCAGAGGCATCCGCGTTCAGACGACACATATCGGTAAGATGAAGATTTAAGGCAGCGTTCCCGATGGTTATTTATTACCAAGAATCTACATAAGCGATCGTAACTGGCCAACGGCAAAACAGAATGGCCCAAGTCAATGGGGAAGGACGTGAAGCACGCGACTTGGCAAGCTCCGTGCCCGACGACACTGAAAATATTAACTCCGCATTCCTCGTAACTGATAAACATGCTACGAGAAACAACGGAGATGTGGTGTTAAAGCGATAGCAATAAAAAACAAGTACAGATTTGTTACTTACCATTCATATTATTTAAACGTTTATCGGCCAGGCCGAATTTTATAGTATAGACGAGAGTGACTTCCTAATATAATTAGAATTATTTTCAAACTTCAATGGCAAACCACCCGTTTATTGTTGGTGCATCTTACTAAACACGTCCATCCACACGTTGATCAATTCCTGCCGCCTGTCATGAGCCTAATTGGCTGAAATCAACCCATTTGTATAGTCTGAGTGTGGGTATTTACCTGAAACGATTCAATTTCTAGATTTGCTGCAGAACGCTTATTTCGTCTCTGTGTGTAGACTATACGTTTGAGCTGTAAGGCTTCATCTCATACAATGCTCGTGTAATATAAGGCCGTAAATCATAAGCGCCTCGGCATATACATGGCTATATATCGAGTAGAACGAGAAAGCACTAGATCGAAACCTGTCTCGGCCATTATTTGTCACTGTACGACGCTGCCACTCACGTTAAAGTGGAAAGATTAACCCAGACTAGATGCGCGTCCTCAGCTGTATCAGCCCAGCACGCTAGTCAACTTCAGTGATCATTGAGGTCTCTTCTCTATCAGACGTATGTAACCCTTTTGGTATGTTGACATCGCCCCGGTCCGTGGTCCGCTCCTTTGTAGCCTCTCTCCTTCTGCATATAGACGAGTTCCTTTATAGACAATAGCATTGCTTTGAAATTACGCATGGAACTGATTATCTCTTGTTTTAAATCAGCTACTCCTAATCGTGCTTGTTTTTTTCTTCTTGTTTTTGTTCTTGTTCTTCTTCTCTTTCTTCTTCTTCTTCCTATTATTATTATTATTATTGTTATTGTTTCATCAATGATTCGAAATTAGCCGTCTCAAGAATTGCGTCTTTATTGCGATTC